TGGGGTGGAATGTTCTCTAGATGTCTGTTTAGTCTATTTGATTCATTACTTCCATTAGTTCTCTCATTTCTCTGTTAGGTTTCTGTCTGATTGACCTGTCCATTGGTGAGACAGGAGTGTTGAAAACTCCTATTAGTGTGTGGGGTTTGATGGATGCCTTGAGTTCTAGTAATGTTTCTTTTACATAAGTGGGTGCTTATATATTAGGACCATAGATACTCAGGATTGAGACTTGATGAATTTTTCCTGTTATGAGTATAAAGTGTCCATCTCCATCTCTTCTGATTGATTGTATTTGCAGTCAATTTTGTTAGATATTAGTATAGTCACACCAGCTTGTTTCTTTGGTTCATTTGATTGGAAAACCTTTTTCAAACCCTTTACTCAGAGTTAGTGTCTGTCTTTGTCATTGAGGTGTGTTTCCTGTAAACAGCAGAGTGCTGGATCTTGGTTTTAAATCTATTCTTTTAGCCTGCATCTTGTTATAGGTGAATTGAGTCAATTGATATTAAGTGATATTAATGACAAGTGGTTGTTAACTCTAGTTATTTTTTGGTGGTATTGTTTGTGTGTTTCCCTTCTTTGAGTTGTGTTGGTGGAGGGTTATCAGATGTCTGTGCTTTTGTGGGTGTTGTTGGCTTTCTATAAGGCTGGGTTTGTGGCAACGTATTGTTTAAATCTGTTTTTGTCATGGAATATCTTGTATTTTCTATTGATTGTGTAAGAAAGCTTTGCTGGGTATAGTAGGCTGGGCTTGCATCCATGTTCTCTTAGAGTCTGCAGCACATTTGTCCCAGATTTTTTGGCTTTCATGGTTTCCATTGAGAAATCAAATGTAATTCCGATAGGTTTACCTTTATATGTTACTTGACCTTTTTTCTTTGCAGATCATAATATTCCTTCTTTATTCCGTATGTTTTGTGTCTTGATTATTATATAGTGAGGGTGCTTTTTTGATCCATCCTATTTAGTGTTCTGTAAGCTTCTTGTACCTTCATAGGAATATTCTTCTTTAGGTTGGGAAAGTTTTCTTCTTTAATTTTGTTGAATAAATTTTCTGGGCCTTTGAGCTGTAATTCTTCTCCTTCTTCTACCACTATTATTCCTAGGTTTGGTCTTTTCATGGTGTCCCAGATTTCCTGGATGTTTTGTGTTAAGAATTTGTTGGATTTGCTGTTTTCTTTGACCAATGATTCTATTTCCTCTATAGTATCTTCTATCTCTTTTATTCTGTTGGTAATACTTCTCACTGTAGTTCCTGTTTCTTTACCCATGTGTTTTATATCCTGCCTTCCCTCAGTTTGTGTTTTCATTATTACCTCCATTTTGGTCTTTATATCATAAACTGTTTCCTTCACCTGTTTTATTGCTTTTTCTTTATTTTCTGAGTATCTTTGAGTGATTTTTTAATTTATTCTTATTTTTGTTTGTCTTCTCCTTCATATCTTTAAAAGAGTTTTTCACTTCGTTTTTAAAGGACTCCATCATTTTCATAAAGTTTTGTTTTAAGTTGTTTTCTTCTACTTCTTCTGGGTTAGGATGTTCAAGTCTTCTTGTTGCATGTTCACTGGATTCTGATATTACCATGCTGCTTTTCAGGATGTTTGAGTAATGTAGGCATTGGCACCTACCCATCTCTTCCTTCAAATGAGGCCAGCAGAGTCTTAACACCTTAATCCAGTTTTTTCTGTTGCTGACTGAGTACGTGGGAGTTTTTCTTGGCCTATCCCCTCTTAGGTTCTCTCAACACTGGAGTAGGCTGTGATGCAAAGTTTCAAGAACTTTGCAGACAATAAGGTAGGCTCTCCAGTCTCCTCAGTAAGGGTGCAGGGTCTCTATCAGGGTTCCAAGGACCTCACAGATGGAAAGGCTGGCTTTTGGGCAGGGTGGATGGGAGATAGAAGGCACTGTGGGCACAGTGGCAGAAGCACTCCCTGCTGGCTCTCTGGTCCCCGCAGCCCTGAAGCAGGCTGTGTTGTGGGATTCCAGGACCTTGTGGAAGAAAAGGTGAACTTGGGGGCAGGGTGGGGTGGGGTAATGAAAGATAGAAGCAGAAACACACCTGACTGGATGGCCAGAAAAGCTTAGGGACCTGGAGAAGCCTGTATTCTGTCCCCTGGTAAGGTCCCAGAGAGTGGCACTTCTTGCTGTTGGCCTTGTGGCCATCAACTCACCTCTTTGGTCCCCTCATCAGGGGAGCTTGGTCTCTTACAGGGTCCAAGAACCTTGCAGATGAAAAGGCCTGCTTGGGGCAGGGTAGGATGGAGAAAAGAAGACCCAGTGGAAGAAGCCCTTCTTGCTGGCTCTCTGGTCCCCTCAGCCCTGAAGCAAGCTGTGTTGGGGATTCCAAGGACCTCGCAAAAGAAAAAGTGATATACAAACTCTTTTAAATGTAGTGGGGAAAATTTGAATCAAGTTTAAAAATAAAAAAAAGAAGTTAAGGGCTAGCAGAAAGGGATATCCCTGTCTTCAGTAATTGCAGACTTTCACTTGTGCATATGGAGGGTGTTCAGTTAACAGTGTGAACACCTCTCCTTCTTTGGCTTATATTGTTCCTGTGTCTTTATTGAATGAGGATCTGATGTTCACCAGCCTGTGTTAATGGGAGCCATTTCCTTCTTTGAACAATAGAAATCTGTAGCCACATTGAGCTATGAATTCTCTCACTCTTTAGGAACACCCCAGATCATACTGTTCTTGTTGTTGTATAGCTGGAGGGTGTCTCCTTAGTGACATGAAACTGGAAAACCACTTTAGCATGAGAACAGTACAGGTGTTAACACTTTGAAAACCTGTTGGTTGTTAAACAAGAGGCAGGAGGATACTGTGTGATCTCAGACACACCACAATAACCTCTCAGTATTGGGCTTCATTTTAATGTCAACAGATTCATAGATCTGTATTTTTACCACCTCAGTGGACTAAGGCTCAGAGGTTTCATTCAAATTTCATTATAATTCTCTAGTAAGAAGCTTGATTTGTGGTTGCCCATGGCTGGACTCTAGATTAACTGATAGACTAGCTTACCTGCTGCATGATTCTCTGGTGCATAACTTTCCTGCATATCTGTTCTCTAAAATCCACATTCTGTTCTTTCCACTCAGAATTTGTGAAAGACTAAATTCAGTACCTACACCCTGTGGGGTTTCCTTCATGTTGGTGTGCTATATTGATAAATCTTTGAATTTTTTGAATATTGAAATTTTTATATACTTTTTCTTTTTTACTAAAAAATTGCAGACAATTTGTATTGATCATTTTTTCTCTCCAATACCTCCACATTTAAAATATAATTTTCTTATTTCCTCCTCTTTACCTACATTAAACTCTGTCTTGTCTCCCAGGGCCATTCAATTCATTTTTTATAATTATTGTTTTTTAACAAATTCTACACATATAAATAAATAAGTTTACATATATAACCAACTAAATCAATTGTTTGCTCTATAGAATTGTTTTGTGTCATTGGAAAAACCTCAGCCCTGAACTCAAATCGAAAAAGAAAGAATTTATTCTAGAATCAAATTAGTGTGATCATGGCTAGTGAACACAGATTTAGGTGACCCAAGATTCATGTTCATTTGAGGGGACAGTTTCATGAAGATTTCATAGTAAAATATAAAGCAAGTTGTAAATCAAATAAGTTAGTGGATACATCAACCAGGAGGTCACAGGCAAGTCAGGAAAAATTATCCTACAAGCCCAATATGACATCTGATGCCATTCTTAGTTTTTAGGTTGTTGGAAGACAGTTCTCTACTAAATTACAAGATTTCAAGGAAATTTTACTCATTAGTTATAAGAGATTAACTCACCTCCAAAGTTGTCCATAACAGGCTGTTCGCGTTGGTGCAGTTAGCCTGGAGTGAGGTAGTGAGCTTCTAGATCTGCAAAATTCCAACATCTCCACATCACTAAAGTTGATATCAGCCAGTCTCTGCAGACACGGCTCTTTCCAGGGGTTCTTCTGTATGCATTTATATACATTTATACACATGTTAATTATACACACACATTTACACATGTATGTATTTATACACATGTGTACATTTATTCTGCTAACACTCAGTATTGAATAATGCACAGAAAAGACTGATTTTTCAATTTCTCAATAGTGACTATTCATCAGTTATGAACAACAGATTCTCTCTTACCCTAGCATCTAGTTATAGACCTCAAAGTCACATGGTGTAAACAAATGTCATTTTTTTTTCTGCTGCCAACATATCTCTATGTAGAATCTCTCCTTTAAGAGAACTCAGTGGATTCATGATTTCTCTTACTTGCCTCCAGTAGGGCTAACCAGGCTCTCATCTAATCCAGGTTTTGAAAGTACCTCCTAAAATCCCCTCTCCAATCACTGCATACCACAAGTGAGTGAGAAAGTTTAGCTCACCTTCCTGCTTCCAAGATTTCTTTTCCTCTCATTTTGAGAATTCTTTTACTGCCCTCATGAATTTGGGAGCTTTTCCTATTTTTCGTATTCTAATTTTACTTATTATTTTACTTATCTTTCTTATTCCTTGGTAGGAGACTCTTCAGTCATTTAATCTGCAAGTTTAGAGAACAATTTTTTCTTTGTTTACAAGTTTCTAAAATTTTAGAAATATTTCGTTTTTATTTTATGTGTATGATTGTTTTGTCTACATGTGTATGTGTTTCACATGTGTTCCTGGTGCCTACAGAGGCCAGAGGAGGACATGGATTCCCAGAAAACAGGTGTTGCAAAGTATAGTAACCCAAAGAATAACTTCTGTAACCTGAATCAGAATACTACACAAGAGCAGCAAGTAATTTCAGAAATGAATACTAAAATATAATTCAAATACCAAGAACTTCATGAGCCATGCCATGATGTTCCTAAGCTGTCAGTAGTTCGTTCATACAAGCTTTATGTGTCAGAAGAGAAGTCAAGGCTTCAAGACCTCTTTCTGAATCTGCTACGGAGTTTCTGAGAATAATGGTCTGACTGTACTCATCATTCTGCTCCTCCTGTTTAGAGGGAAATGGAAGAACTATCAATATTTACTGACCTTATACTTTGCCATTGAGGAGATCAATAAAGATGCCCAACTGCTTCCCAATGTGACCTTAGGTTTCCATCTCTACAATGCTTTTGACTATCACTACAGAACCTTAGAAGGACCTCTGATGTGGCTGTCTGAAAGGAGTGAGTTTGTCCCTAACTACAAATGCAAAACTCAATACAAAGCTCTTGCAGTCATTGCAGGAGTCAGGCCTGAATTTTCTACTGCAATTGCAACACTTCTGGAACTCTACAAAGTTCCACAAGTAAGTTAATAATGTTCTTGTGACTACACTCACTTAGGATACCTGACCAAAAGAAGCTGAAGAAGCTTATATATTTACCTCCAGTGATTTAAAATAAAAGTAAATGAATTACCTGGATTCTGCTATAATGAACAGGGGAAAGTGTGTGGTGAAAAACATGAGCAGCAAATATTTGAATTTCCAAACTGGTAACTTACTAGTATTTATGATTTAATCTCCAAACATTGGCAGTATGTACTGTGGTAGATTATAGTTGAGTTCTGCTCACAAGTCAGAGTCTACAGCACAGATAACTGTATCTGTGTATTTATGACCAATATGGGTCATAAATATCTCATAGTGCATCCAGGAGTTGATTACTGACAGAGAGAGGAGCAGAAAGTTAAGGACATTTAAACGAATTTGGACAATCCTCAAAGATATTATTAATAAAAATGTTACAAGAAATTTATTTTCTCATTCAGGAAAGTAGATCTCTGAATAGCACTCACAGAAGAACTGCTTAGATAAATCCCCACACTGGCTCTTGCCAGGCACTGTTGAAGCAAAGCAGTCATCATTAGACATCACTACAAACAGAAAAACATTAGATGAGGACCATGCTCAGGAATAATCAACATTAGAAGATCATACAGTGCAACATTGATTATTATCACTCAGTTAAAAAATGATAAATGTACTGGATCCTGATATAAGAAAAAATGATATACATGATAATTTTCATTGTTCTCAGATACTTGCATTTTATATTATTTTCTCAGTGATGACTCATCAAATCTATCATTAGGGAATGAGGAGGCAACAAAACTTACTGATGTTCCCCTAGATCTTCATGCCTTGCTCTTTTCTAAATGCAGGAGCTAAATCTATGAACTAATTTGTTATTTACTTTCCTAAAACTAGAGATTCTAGTAAAGATATTGATATATAGTCAGACTTCAGCACTTGGTAATGCTTCTGCAGTCTTTCTCTACAACGGATGCCCCGCCCAGCTGTTATTGGAACATTAGAATTCGATTGTACCTTTCAAATCTGTCATGAAAATTATATTGATCACTTTTTAGGTGCTTCAGAACTCAGTAACATTGGAGGCCATAGTACTTGAAAGTAACCATATTCCATCACATGATGAGAGAGAGAAGCTAATGTCACAGAACACACTCTCTTTACCAACCTTCAGTTCCTTGATCCTCTTCTGTGAATAATAAGCTCATTTCCTCTCTAAGGGTGATGACTACAAATACCCAGAAACTCCGAATGACTTTTTTTGTTTGCTTCATCAGGTCTCATATGGAAATTTTGATTCTGCACTAACTGACAAAGACACATTCCCATCCCTTTACCAGATATCTCCAAAAGATAAAGCACTAATCCAACTGGTAATCTCTTTATTGCTGCACTTTGGCTGGAAGTGGGTGGGGGTCATTGTGTCTGATGATCTAAAAGGTAAGGAGTTCATCTCTGATCTGAAAGCACAGATGGCGTCAGAAGATATCTGTGTAGCTTTTACAGTAAAACTCCCAACTAATTGGAAGATTCAGTTAGTATCTGAGGTTGGGCTGCTGAAATTAAATCAAGATACACAAGTAAATGTACATATATTTTTTGGTGATATAAATGACATATTGGTTTTCTACTTGACCAATGAAATCATATCAAACAGAAGGAAAGTGTGGATCATGACAAAGCCACAATTATTTTACTTGGAGTCTGAATTATATGAGTTAAATGTTTTTATGTACATTTTTGGAGGAAGCTTTTCAGTTTCAAAAAAGAAAAAACTTCCTGGATTCAAGCACTTTATTGAAGCACTTATGCCCTCCCAGTACCCAGATGATCTTTACTTTCGTAAATTCTGGATTGACACTTTTTATTGTGCACCTCCTCCTTTACATTGCGGAAATTATATACCCTGTCCACCAAATATATCCTTAGAAACTAAACAAGAAGAAAAGTTTGTGATCACTTCTGAACCCAGGGTTTCCATATGGAACGCTGTGTATGCAGTAGCCCATGCCCTCCATAAAATGCTTTTGAGTAAAACTGAAATAACACCTCACAAAGAAACAAAAAAGGACAGGCTTCTACCTTGGCAGGTAAGCCTACTCATAACCAAGGGAAGCACTGGACACTTATATTATTAGTAGGTAATTCATGGTATGCAAGCACATAACACATTTTCACCTTATAAATAAAAAAGTAAGGCAAAGTGTAAAGGGGTTCTTTCACAGTGGGTGTATGTGTGCCTGTGATATGGTGCATGCTTTGGGAAATGGTAGCTTTGCTTTGAAGACATTAATTCTGTACAAATTTCACCAAATAGTTTCATAGTATGAACTGAAATTCTGTAAGATATCAAAATCAATTAATGTCAAAATTTTTAAATTCAATAATCAATTTTTTCTCTTTTCTTTTTTATTATTACTTTAAAAATACAAATCCAAATTACCACTTCCTCTGTCCCTGACCTCCTCTCACATACCCTCCATATACCTGAAAGGCCAGTTCAGGCACACTCTCCTCTATTGCTTAGGGTCTTAGCTGGGGTCATCCTTTTTGATTCCTGGGAAATTTTCTAGAGCCAGGTTTCTCGCTAACCCACAAAATGCTCCCCAATCAAGATATTTCTTTCCTTGATCTCATATCTCTCCTTCCTTCATCTCAACTATCCCATTCCCTCAAGCTCTCCCCCAACACTCCCCTTCTCCCCTCCCCTTCATCTTCTGCTCTTCCTTCTACCCCCATACACCACGATAAAATGTTTTGACAGTGGATCTTGTCTGATTCCAATTTCCAGGTGAATCTACATATGTTTTTCTTTGAATTATACTTATCAGTTAGTTTCTCTAGGATCAGAAACTATAGGCTCAATATATTTTCTTCATGGCTAGAATCCACTTATGAGTTAATACATACTACATTCATTTTTTGATTCTGTGTTATCTCACTCAGGATAGTGTTTTCTAACTCCATCCAATTGCATGCAAAATTCAAGATGTCATTGATTTTTACCACTGAGTAGTACTCTAATGTGTAGATGTGCCACAGTTTCTTTATCCATTCTTCCATTGAGGGGCATCTAGGTTGTATGCAAGTTCTGACTATTATAAGTAATGCTGCTATGAACATAGCTGAACAAATGCTTTTGTAATATGATTGGGCATCTCTTGGGAATATGACCAAGAGTGATATTGCTGGATACTAATGTAGGTACATTCCCAATTTTCTGAGAAACTGCCACACTGATATCCAAAGTGTTTTCACAAGGTTGCATTACTACCATCAATGGATGAGTGTTCCCCTTACTCCACATCCTCTCCAGCATGAGCTATCATTGGTTTTTTTTTTATTTTATCAATTCTTACAGGTGTAAGATGGTATCTCAGAGTTGTTTTGATTTGCATTTCCCTGACAGCTAAGGATAACAGTGAATCAATCCCACACCAATTATGTTTTAATGGGGTATTTATTTAGGGGGGTAAAACTTACATACACCATAAACCGTCAGGAAGGGAGCCTAGTCGCTGGAGCAGGAGCCGGGAGCAGGAGCCAGAACCAAGCACCGGAACCAAGAGGCCCCAACCGAGACCTGCAACTTTTTTTTAAAGAGAAATATACCATGCCCCAGTGGGCTGGTATTTCAGCGGCTATTGGCTGACAGAGCAGAAGGCGCTCCTGCAGCACCGTGGGCTCGTGCTTCAGCGACTATTGGCTGAAGCAGCAGAAGATACTCCCGCAGCACCTCCCCCTTTTGTTTAAGTAAGAGAGTTCTAAGCCTACTACGAAATTGTATGCAGTAAGTACAAACCTATACAATTATATACAATAAGTACAAATATCCTATTCTAATTAGCTAAATTCTTGTATAATAAATAACTTGGCCAAGTTATGAGAGGAAAGTAGCTACATTTATCTAGTCTTCAACCCCATAGAAGATCCGAGAAGGAAAATAATGTTACCTGAGTAATTAGGAAGTGCAATCAAAGAACTTCCAAAACATGCAACAAATCACAGAGACAACTGGCTACCTGGGCAATCACCAAAGACCTGTTTGCAGTGTTGAAGCAACCAACTTTGACTAAGGCCTACAAATAACTGACAGATTATTTTTAACAGGCAAGAGATTTTTCAAAACCATCTTACCCTGTCTTGGCAAGATTTAACAGTTCTGTTTATCCATTTCTGGATTTTATCCATTTCTGGATTTTATCCATTTCCAGATTTTATCCATTTCCAGATTTTAACAGGCAAAAGATTTTTCAAAACCATCTTACCCTGTCATAAGGAAGTTGAACATGTCCTTAAGTATTTTTGACCATTTGAAATTCTTCTGTTGAGAAAACTCTGTTTAGTTCAATACACCATTTTTAATTGGGTTATTTAGATTTGTAATGACTAATTTCTTGAGTTCTTAATATATATTGGAGATCAGTCATTTATCTGATTTGGGGTTGGTCAAGATCTTCTCCCATTCAGTAGGTTAACTTTTTGTCTGAATGACTGTGTCTTTTGCTTTTACAGAAACTTCTCCATTTTAGGAGGTCCCATTTATTCATTGTTGCTCTTATTGTCTGTGCTTTTGGGGTTATACACAGGCAGTGTTCTTCTGTGCCCATGCATTGCAGGATACTTCCCACTTTCTCCTCTATTAAGTTCAATGTGGTTGGGTTTATATTGAGGTCTTTGATCTATTTGGACTAGAGGTTGGTGTATGGTGATAGATATGAATCAATTTTAATTTTTCTACAGACATCCAGTTATACTACTACCATTTGATGAAGATGCTTCTTTTTTCATTGTATAATTTTAGTTTCTTTATCAAAATTTATGTGTTCATAGGTGTGTGGATTAATATCCATGTCTTCAGTTCGATTCCATTGGTCAACATGTCTATTTTTATGCTAGTACCAAGCTGTTTTCATTACCGTAGCTCTGTAATAGAGTTTGTTGTCAAGGACAGTAATGTCTTCAGAAGTTCCTTTATTGTATAAGATTGTTTTGGCTATCCTGTGATTTTTGTTTTTCCATATGAAGTTAGTTATCAATCTTTCACGGTCTGTGAAAAATTGTGTTGGTTTTTTGATGGGAATTGATTTAAATCTATAGATTGCTTTTGGTAGCATCACCATTTTTACTATGTTCATCATTCCTATCCAAGAGCATGGGCGACCTTTCCATTTTTCTGATATCTTCTTTCAATTTCTTTCTTCAAAGGCTTAAAGTTCTTGTCAAATAGGTCTTTTACTTCCTTGGTTAGTGTTAACCCAAGATGCTTTATGCTATTTGTGGCTATTGTGAAAGGTGAGGTTTCTCTGATTTCCCTATCAGTTTCTTTATCCTTTGTGTAGAGGAAGGCTACTGATTTTTTTTTGAGTTGATCTTGTATCCTGTCTCTTTACTGATGCTATTTTTCAGCTATAGGATTTCTCTGGTAGAGCTTTTGGGGTCGTTTATAAATACTATCACATCATCTACAAATAACAAAAATTTGATTTCTTGCCAATTTGAATTCCCTTGATCTCACGTTGTCTTATTGCTATTGCTAATAATTCAACCACTATGTGGAAGAGATATGAAGAGAGTGGACAGACTTGTCTTGTTCCTAATTCTAGTGAACTCTTTGAGTTTCTCTCCATTTAATTTGATGTTAGCTGTTGGCTTTCTGTATATTGCTTTTATTATATTTAGATATCATCTATGTAACACTAATCTCTCCAAGACATTTTCATGGAGGAGTGTTGAATTTTGTCAAATGCTTTTTCACATCTAATGGAATGAGTATATGTTTATTTCTTTCAGTTTATTTATATGATGAAATACGTTGATCGATTTCTGTATGTTAAACCAGTCCTGCATCTCTGGGAAAAAGCCCACTTGATCATAATGGATGATCTTTTTGATGTGATCGTGGACTTGGTTTGCCAATATTTTATTGGGAAATTTTGAATCGATGTTCATGAGTGAGATTGTTCTGTAATTCTCTTTGGTTGAGTCTTTGTGTGGTTTTGGTATCAGGGTAACTGCAGCCTTATAAAAAGAGATTGGCAATGACCCTTCTGTATCTATTATGCGGAGCATATTGAGGAGTATGGTATTAGCTCTTCTTAGAAGTTCTGGTAGAATTCTACACTAAAAAAAAATTCCAGCCAGGGGCATTTTTTGGTTTGGAGGTTTTTGATGACAGCTTCTATTTCCTCATGACTTACAGGTCTATTAAGATTGTTCATCTGGTCTTGATTTAATTTTGGTATAGGATATTTATCTAAAAAAATTGTCCATTTCTTTTACATTTTCCATTTTTATGGAGTACAGGCTTTTGTAGTAAGATCTAATGATTCTCTGAATTTTTTCAGTATCTGGTGTTATGTGCCCCTTTTCATTTCTGATTTTGTTAATTTGGATATTATCTCTCTGCCTTTGATTAACTTGCATAAGGGTTTGTCAATCTTGTTGATTTTCTCAAAGAACCAGCACTTTGTGTCATTGATTCTTTATATTGTTTTATGTGTTTCTATTTTGTTGATTTCAGATTTCAGTTTGATTTTTTTCCAGACTTCTACTACTCCTGGTTGAGTCTGCTTCTTTTTTGTAGAGCTCTGAGGTGTGCTGTTAAGTTGGTAATGTGAGTTCTCTCCATTTTCTTTATGTGAGCACTTAGTGCTACAAACTTTCCTCTTAACACTGCTTTCATTGTATCCCATAGTTTTGGATATGTTTACCTTCATTTCATTGAATTCAGGGAAGACTTTTTCTTTCTTTATTTCTTCCTTTACCCAGGGGGGTTCCATAGTTTACTGTTCAGATTCCATGAATTTGTGGGCTTTCTGCAGGTAGTTTTGTTGTTAATTTCAAACTTACTCCATGGTGATCCATTAAGACAAGTAGTTACTTCAATTTTTTTTTGTATTTGCGGATGTTTGCTTTGTTACCAAGTATGTGATCAATTTTAGAGAAGGTTCCATGAGGTTCTGAGAAGAAGGTATAGTCTTTTCTGTTTGGGTGGAATGGTCTATAGATGTCTGTTATGTCCATTTGATTTTTTATATCTGTTAGTTCTCTTATTTCTCTGTTAAGTTTCTGTCTGGTTTCCTTTCCA